CGGCGACCCCCCCTCCCCCAAAGTAAAAAAGTGCCCTTCTAAACCCAACGGCCTTCTTTAGAGCCACCAATAAATAAACCAAACTCTGTCTTACATTGCTTATAAATTTCAATAAATTTAATAAATTACATAACACAATAGTATCGTTTACGCGCGTGAGCCGAAGCCCATGCGTAGCCTCATCGCCGGGTGGGCGTGCCTACTATGCTGAAAAATGTCTCTATGCGCGCGTGTGTAGCCCCTAAACTAAAGAACTGCATGGTACTTAGGCTTAGTCGTAGTGAATGAGGCTGAAATTGAGGCGGGTGAATTAAACACGTATGAGTGCAGCAAGTTACCCATAGATGTGAAATGAAGTAGTGCAGAAATAAGGATGTTGTTTGCGTCCAATTCGATAGTGCTCATGGAATCGACGAGAGAGGTCAACCTCTTTCGTATTTCACTTCATGTACATCAGTCGTGGTGTTAAAATTGTAACATTATAATAATAAGTTGTATTTTGAATTGCGAACGAGCAGTCACTTACTAATAAAGTGTGTTTTCTCCTTCTTTTTCGAATGATTCAATACCGTTGTTTTTGATCGCTGAATATCATCACAAGCTTTACTCAGTGTTGATTCTCAAACCATTGTCATACTTAACATTTTCAGTTTTATTGTTCATCTATGTTTTTCTTCTTCAAAGCTTTTCATTTTGCCATACGTACGCCGTACTGCTCTCATGAGATTGAAAATGACCGGATTTAATGTAATTTTATTGACTGAATCTCTGTGTTTGTGTTCACTGCTCTTTGAATTAAACGGAACTGATATCATTTATCCAGCAACTATCCACCACTTATTGAAAGGATTTTTTTCGAACAAATCACTAGATATTTCAGGACAGAAAGAATAAAGTGTACGATGCTGAATCGGGTCGTTATAACGGGTATTGGTGTAATCAGTCCATTCGGAGTGGGTAAAACAATTCTTTTCGAGAATTTAATCGCTTCGAAAGTGGCGCTTAAATTTAAGGAAGCTTTAAAAACAGTCGTTGGTTGCATTCCAGAAGGCAATGAAGTCGTTGAATTGAATTTGAATAGATGGTCCAAAGGTGAACGGAGACAAATGGGTCGAGGTCAGTTATTTAAATGTTTTTTTCATTCGTTATACTTCGTTTTGCTGACTGATTCTTCCAATTAATTTTGTGAGTATTTATTTTTGCGGTCATCCATATTTGTCGGATGAATCGTTCATTCGTGAAGTATCAAACACAGATTGCATTATTTTTTAAGGCAGTTTATTGGCATTGGTTACTGCAGAAGAGGCCATAGAAGATTCTGGATTGGATGAAAAAGATCTGGAAGAGATGGGTGTTGACATTGGGATGGGTATCGCTGATTTGGAACTGATCGCCGAAAGCGCAAATCTGATAAGGGATGGTAAATCGCACAAAGTAACACCATATTTTGTACCTCGAATTCTAACAAACATACCTGCTGGACATGTAAGCATACGGTACTATTTATCTTCATTTCTTTTTGTAATGTTTGACATGACTTCGTCAGTTTCAAGCCATAACTTGATGGGTTATTTAAATGGAAGTAAGTTGTGAAATTGAATGTTAGTTGCAATGAATTGTTGCGAATTGAGGTATGGAATGCGTGGACCGAATCTGAGCGCATGCACCGCTTGTGCAACCGGTCTGCATGCGATTGGAGATGCAGCTACTTTTATTGCGATGGGTCGAGCCAAGAAAATGCTTGCTGGTGCAGTTGAGGCATGTGTCAATCCTATTGCAATCACCGCATTTCAACGTATGAGGTTCATCTTCCCGTTTCTTCTATCTCTTTTCTGCTTTACGTTATCCTATGTTCTGTTCGTTACACTGTTCACTTTGAATTGTTGAATATACTTCATGGCTCCTGAGCATTTCGGATTGTTTTTGCTTCCTTTGTCCTGTTAATTTTATCTCTTTCACGAAGTCATCTAGTTATGCGACCAACTGAATAAACTGCAGAGCTCTCTCTCCATCCGGCTCGAGACCTTTTGATTCCAGTCGAAATGGTTTTATTCTTAGCGAAGGCGCTGCCCTTGTGACATTGGAAACTCTTGAAGATGCTCAAAAACGAAATGCACATATTTATGCCGAAATTAAAGGTTATGGTGAGTGTGTATTCCATCTCAGTTGCTTTTATTGTACTTTTATTAGTTACTCTCCACCAATTCACCATAGTAGTAATATTAATATACGACTTATCATATTATCCATATAAGTAGTTTCAAAAATTCTAATTAATTTATTAGTGAAAATGGAACAGTGTAATTTGAAGGGTTCTTGAAGTAATTGACGAATTAATGAAAAATTAAGGTTGTGCTGGTGATGCGTATCATTTAACGTTACCAACGAAAGATGGTACTGGTGGTCGTTTGAGTATGGAACGATGCTTGAAAGATGCGAGAATGAACGCATCACAAATCACATACGTGAATGCGCATGCCACCTCAACTCCAGCCGGTGATTCGGCTGAAGCACACGCTATTGCAACGTTAATGCCTGGTGTTGCTGTTTCATCCATCAAAGGTTCTTTTTCTTAGAAACATTTCGATTACACTCACTTTTCAACGAAGTCAGCAATTATAAGAATACATTTTATTAAATATATCGCAATGTTAAGTTACTTGGGAATGTTCTTTCTGTATGCTATTAATTATAAAATCGATAATCGTTTCAATTTAAGGGCATATCGGTCACACACTAGGTGCGGCCGGTGCAATAGAAATAGCTGCAACGGCGATGTGTATTGATCAAAATGTTATCGTTGGTAACGTGAATCTAAACGAAACAGACATTGATGAGAATATTGATCTGTTACGATCAGCAACTGACTGGAAAGCCGATCATGGCAATCGAATTGCATTAGTGAATTCATTCGGATTTGGTGGACCACATGGTACAATATGTTTGAGCAGTAACTAATCAGCGTGGTGATACTAACTGACTGAGTATCGATTCAATTCTTCTCAAAATTTATGCTTTATCCTTTTCCAAAAAGATTGTGCCATCAGCAGATTCCTCTGTATCAGTCATTATTGAAGTTTAAATTTTATTAAATGAATTTTGAATCTGCATGTAATCTCTTATGCTATATATAATACTAGGTATGTATATAACAAATAAATCAGGCGTCGGCAACCCCCGGCCCGCGGGCCAAAATTGGCCCGCAGACAATAATATTTGGCCCGCATATGAATTTGAGCATTTGATTTTAAAGGGGCAAAAAAAGAAAAGAAAAAAGGTTTCAAATTATTTAGCTACTACACTGAAGATTTTCGACACAGAATTTCCTAATAGACGACTAACTGTGTCGCTGACACATAACATTTTCTCTTCATTAATGCATATATATATATATATA